AACTACACCAAAATTATCAATCAACTGTGTTATTAAACTTGATTTTTCTTGGTTTGAAATATAAAAATGACATCAAAAGGATAGTTTCCAATTAAATATAAGAACTCTTAACTATTATAAAATCCTGAGAATAAATCTATAATTTAGAAAATTTAAGATGTCCTTGAATGTCAAGATAATTTGATAACCACATAAGATAATGTGTTGGCAATCTCCCCAAACACAATTTTTGTCCTCAAGTGAAAATGAAAAGTACTTTTTCTTGTGATCATATCTGGATTTTTAATTTGACATGTGTGTTGTTAATCTGGATTTGGGGAGAAAACAAATGATAAAGGCTTCAGAAATTATTCAATTACCTCAAAAAATTCTGGGAAGATTGTTTTCTAGTGGGATATAGGTCTAAAATGAGTCACATGAAAATTAAAATGAATTGGAAGTTCCTTCTTGACTTTACACTGGTGACACTTTCATAATCATCTATGCAGCTAAGATTCTCTAGGGACAAAGTAAAGGACTCTGACCACTCTCATTGAGTCTATTTTTAGTGCAAACTATAAAACAATCATAAGATATTGGCCAATTATCTCAGCTAACAATAAGAACATAATATCATTAAATACTTGCTTATATCTTATTTGGCACACTGCTACCTAAAAGTATGGGCTTTGGAGGCAGTGGACCTTGGTTCTAATCCTTATTTGGTTGCCTTACTATGAAAAGGGATAACACCTACCTCATAAGGCTAATAATATGTGCCATCACAGAGGCCATCCTGAAATAAGAGCTCAAAACCTATAATTACTATGATTATGACTATACTCATAGAAATTCTATGAAGATAGAAAAAACAGGTGTTTCTATAGTCCACTTAGAGATGAAGCCATCAAATCTTATACAGTTTAAACCACATATCAGTGCTTCATGTTCATGAAAAGTATAGCATCACTGGTGAAAATGAGACAAACAAAAAAATTCAGTTCCTGTTTTTGAGGAGTTATTAATTAAGTTGGGGGAGAAGACTGAGAAAATTACAATCAGCATATGATGTGATGGGTGAAGATACTCAGAGATGTCCTAGCTGAACAATATACCATTTTACACCTAATGTCAGGACAGAAAAGTATTACTATCTTAGTATTCATAGCATTATTCATAACAAAATCTATTGTTTTGATCTATTAATTGAGAAAAGAAAGGGTTGAGGAAACAGACTAGAAGATATTTAAATTTAAAGAATCAAGGCTAGTTCTGTCACTCAGCTGGGTGGATCATTCATTTCTCAGAGGGTTTAGGGAAAGGCCTGTTCTCATTCTACACTTTGCCCTGTACTCAACGTATGGAACTTTAACCATCCCCCTCCCACCTTGCATTGCTAAATAAGAAAATAGTTTTGTATTCATATCTTAGGTTAAAAAACACCCTCACTATGGTCACTACAATATGATCAAGCTTGGGAATGTGGTGACAGATGAAGTTGTGGTGAAGTTGTGAACTGGTTAAGATTTATCGTAGCATTTTTTCCTACAATGTTTACTTTCCTTGTAGCCTGAATTTCATCATGCTCAGTCCAGCTTCATCGATATTTATTGAGCACCTACTACATTTGAGCCTCTAATTTGAGCTCTGAAAATCCAAAAATACATGCCTTGTATTTTTAAAGTCTAATAATGTTTAGTTAAGAGGTAAGACTTGAAGGGAGATAAATGCTTCAGGATTTACCTAGAAGCAGACTCAGGGAAAATTAAACTTTCTTCTCTATGTTTAGAACTGGTTTTGCCTTCACAGTAGCATTCCAAAGGGATATTTGTATTCTCAGTTGAATAGCAACTAGCAACTGCTGCGTCGACTACTTCTAGCAATAAAATAACGTTAGTAGTACTTGAATGTTCAGCGTCTGAAAGTGCTCATTTGAGAGCCATCTCCATAGAAATAAAATAATCTATATTCTCTATTAGTTGGACAATAAATCCACTGAAGTAAATACCAGGCACAAGAAATGGAGCCTTTCATTTATCCTTATATTTTTATTTATTTTAAGTAAATTTCCTAGATTTACCTTGATGATTTTCTTTTTTGTCACTTCAACATTACTCTGCAATACAGACACAGACTAGCCCCCCAAATGCAACTATTCTATTTTTCTCAAATGATTACATTTTCATAGAATTCTGAAGTGGTAAAGATTTTTTTTCACAATATATTAGTTTCTTTCCCTGCTACCTGAGGTTTATTATTTTTATGTCTATTGCATGTGAGTTTGATTATATAAAGTAGAAGAAAAAGGACAGAGGCACTAAATTAAACAAGCTATGAAAATTGTTATAACCACTTCAGAAGCTTACCAGAAACCACTTGTGTTTTGATGATTTTTAGGGGGATTTTAACCAGTGATCACCAACATTTTACTCAAATATTACTTCTAATGACAACCGAGGATTCTGTTCTTTTTCAATGATTACATTATAATAGCAAACACATATTAAAAATTCCCTCAAACCATGCCATAATATACACTTAATAATTTTGCCCCAATACTTTACAACTTGAAAAACAAACTCTAGTATTACACAAGAACCTGAGAAATTCTATGCATATTTCAGTTACCCAATTTTTGTGGGGGGGGAAAAAGTGTACTAGCATGAAATTCAGTAGAGCTCAGTCAAAGATTTACTGAAAAAACTAAAATACAACTGCTTTTCTAGTATTCTCTACAACCTGCCAATTTCATTTCCTTTTCTCTGTGGTCTCTCTGCAGGTCCACTTGGATCCTGGTGAGCTATGGCTTGCCTTTGCTAGACTCCTGTGAACAGGGACAATGAACCTGTACATCTGACTGTATATGCAAGGGGCTTTTTCTGCCCTCTGGGCTGGAACTGAGACCATGCTTCATTGGAAAGTCAGGCAACATAACTAAATCCTGTTGGCACAGGCATGCCTCAGTTCTTACTGGCATACAAGTAGGAAGAAATATGGGGAGAAAGAAGAGAATAAAACGAGCTTAAGAGGAAGTAAAATCAGAGAAAAAATGCTGGCATTGGAGGAAAATGAATCAGGGTGATCTTTCCAACTCAGAAAGACAAGTAAATGTAACATAAACATCGTGTTTCTGCAATCATATAGGATTTATAAGATGAACAAACAGAATGATATAAAAGGCCAGAATCCTCTGCAAATGTTTAGGCAACTGAGATAATTACTTGGGTACTCTCTCTTAAATAAAGAAATAATCAATTTCTGCTTATTCAAGGTCCTCTGAATGAGAGAGTTCCAAAATACCCACCCCCCAAAATGAATAATAATAACTTAGGTTTACAACAGAGATCTTGTGCTATAAATATTTTAAAATGATTTCTGAATCATGACAATATTAAATAATTAATTTGTTAATAAAATGGAATAATAAATTCCATTTTTGTTACTAGGGCATTTTAGCACATTCTGATTCTTTAAGAGATATATTTACTTTAGGTCACAATCAACACACACTTAAAAACCAACTTGGAATCTAAGGCAAGTATTAACCTAAGTATAGTCCATCAAAGACTAGTCCCAGGCACTCTGGAAAAATTAGAAATGTTACTTTTTCAATGAGTTCTGACTACATAACACTTTGGGAACTTCTGCTTGAGATACTTAATTTGTGTGGGGTATAAAACAGCCAGTGAATTTTAGTTATGAGTTTATTATACTGATAAAACTATCTCATTCCTTACCCTACATACTCTGGATATATTAGTACATCAAATGTAATTTGGTAGCATTGATATGGACACTTCTTATCACTTAGAATAAAAGTCCAGAAGGACTGAAAGAGTATTTGTTTACTGCTTACATTTCATGGTATTGAATTTTTAATTCAAAGTATTTTGTATTAAATTTGAAAAAATTGCATATGTTGCATTGCATTGAAATAAGATGGCTTTGCTGTATTTCAATACAATAGAATATGCAGTTTAAGACCAATTAATTCTCAACTGCTTTAATTTTTTTCTCTTGATTTTCTTTACAGACCTCATAGTACTTGTAAAAGCTACTTAGCACATTTGTTATCCTCTATGGAAGGCCTGGATTGGGAAGGAAGGACTACCGATCTGATATACTAAGGCAATGATAAATGAATAATTGTTAAATTTACTGAGGGAAAAAGAAGTGAATAAAGTATGGCAATTTGTGTACACGGTGTAACCACAATTTCTATCAATGGAATTCTGAGCAACATTATGTGAGGGAAAGTCTGGTGGTTAGTAGGAAGGAGGCTGAGAATGACCCGTTTGTGTTTTCAGAGAGAGAGAGAGAGAGAGAGAGACCCCTGCAAGAAACAGAAATATGGTGATGAGTCATTAATTATAAGATCATGTTATCTCACTGAAAAATTATTGATTAATTGGTCATTGTGTAGCTCTGGGTATTAGAATAGGAGAAAGATCTTGGCACCCTGCTGAATCCAGTCAAGACTTCTAAATACTTCCAGAATGGGGAATAATCCAAGTATGCCTGCTCCTCACTCAAGCATTCAGTGAGAGAAAGGCCAAACAAGGAAACCACAAGCTCAGTGGAAAGGGCCTCCTTTGTAGCTGCTGGCTTAGGTGAAAGGGCACTAAAACATAAAGAAGCTGGAGACCTGGGGTGAGGAGAGTCCTCTTCAATATATCAGTCAATGAGTCCATGCTGTTAATGAATCTTAATGTAACCTTGCCGAAAGCATGGGCAACATTTGATGTGTAAGGAAAGACCACAGCTTGATTCAGGCCAAGAAGAGAGTTGGTAAGTTTTACTTAAGACCTTTCTTGGTCATAATAATTGACACTGGAATTTTTATAGATAGATTTTGGAAAATGAATAGTCTCCTAATAAATGTTTCCTAATATAGGCTTCACTTTGGGAGACAGTGACTAAAAGAGTACTGTAATATGCATATTTTTAATTCTAATTTCATTGAACTCTTTTGATATCACCTCTGTGAGAAATCACATACAGAGGATGCTCCCAGGACTTACATCTCTTCCAATCAAGTCCTCCTGGTTTTCCACAATTCCCCAGGGGGCGATACCTATGGTACATATCTTCCCTCGAGACTTTGATGCATGGTCCTTCAAGGCATCTCCAACATGACGAATTACACCTAAAAGAAAAAAAGAGATGTATTACCCTTGTCTTTTAAAGCAGTTATTTTTCATTGTTCTCAAAGAAATTGTGATAACTATTTCTCCCAAGATTAACTGTATTGGATATAAAATTCTGACACATTTCTACACACACTGCATGTGTTTATTTGATAAACTTGTGCCACTAACACCAGATACATTTGCTGGGCTGGTGTTTCTTATCCTATTTTGTATTTTTTTTAAAAAGTGCCCCTAAGATCTATAAAAACACAAATACAATTCTTTAAACTTAGGAAATCTTTTTCTTGTATTATATGCATAATGTGTTAAGTATGACTAAGAGCCAATTCCATGACTGTGTCCTGTAAAAAAAGCACCATACATAACATTATATTAAATCTACACCACAATTTGTATAAAGTTAGGTCATTCAAATAGTGCAATGACAACTCAGATTTTGTCAACCTTGATTTTTTTTTATTTGGGGATACATAATGTGCAGACCCTACTTGTAAGGCAAATGTCAACATATTCCATGGAGAGTTTATGTTAAAAATATATAAATACAGCTTTTTATCTTTACCATGGCAACTGTTTTCCTCTTCTCTCAGGAGGGCCTTCCCCATCACTGTGGCCTTTCTCACCGTAGTCAAAAGTGAGAAATTCAGTGTGTAAGATGGAAGGGAACCAATGGCTTATTGTTTTATAAACCGTTTAAACAGGTGCAATTTCTAACCTTTTAACTTCTCTCTCAAGTGATCATCTTTATAAAATATATGAAATTTCTATATCCTCTATGAAAAGATGTTTCCACTTACAAAAATTCCACCCATTCCTCAAGGAAAAGTTCACATCTAGTTCCATCTTCTGTATGAAACCTGAGCTGGATTTCATTTCTTCTGAGTTTGAATAGGATCGTGGTGTGCATGTCCTGAAGAGCTTACTAGGTCATCTAATATCTGTCATCAATCATAAGCATACATGAAGACGTCTCCTTTCAATGTAAAACTCTTTGAGGGGAAGTTTGGAAGGTCAGAGTCTCACATGTCTTTGTGCATTTCAGAGGCTAACACAGAGTAAGGGCTCAGAAACTGTGCGTTGAGCTAACTAGGCATGCAAAACACACCAGGCAGTTTAATCATGGGATAGGACATGCATGTGCAAACAACTCAATTTGAAAAACTCAAGAGATGAAACAGAAAGATCTTCCTTTAAAAAAAAAATCAACTAACAAAATAGTATAATCCACTTTGAGCAATAATCCAAATATAAGCAATAAAGCTGTGAATATTAGTGTTAAAAAATTTTCTCATTTATATGCAAAACCCCTTTCCAGGCCAGACCTGGACATAAAGTTTAAGTTCATGGTATGCCCTCCATCTGCCACAATTCCACCATCATCTCTTACCTAACCTAAGTGTGCACCATTAGAACCTCACATTGGGTATTGCATTGAATACTAAGCCTGGACTGAAGCAGAAAGGAACTCTTTGGTTTACAGTATTTATGCTGTAAATTCTTCTTTGGCTATTAGCTGTATTTTATAAGAGAAGAAAAACAATCATGTTCCAGGTACTCAGAAGCAGAAGATTGGTAAGAATTCTTTTGAACTTTCAGGAATTTTGAGTTGGTCTGCATATGAGGTGCAGGTCCTGCCAGGAAAGCAGAAGACTGATCAATCACAGGCGAATGGTGCCTGCTCAGCGGTGAGTGAAAGTCGGAACCTCCAGCCTAAACAGTCACTGAAAGAACATTGCCCTGCAGATGTCTGATTACTGCAAAACAAACAGTGACGAGCTGCCTGAGCAGACCATTCCACATCGCGTCGGCCTGCAGACCGTGTCAGGACTTCACCGAGTGGCGATGCGCACGCACAGCCTGCAGAGCTCACTGTTGAGATGTGCCTGTGAAGTTCTGTGCAGAACATTCCCAGGCTCTGGGTGTGGAGGAAAATCCTGAGTGCAGGTCTCGCTTAACCATCATCCCAACCACAAACTGAAGAATAAACAACACTGAGAAAATCTGTTTAATGTCCAGGGTTACATTAGAATGTTCCACTAACTCCATGTGTGTCCATGCTCCGACTTTGAACTTCGTAACAAGTGTGAATTAACCTAGTGCAGCATCACTTGTGCACTTCCAGTCGGCACTTCAGACTCAGGCTGGGGAGATATGTCCAGGCAGTTTACAGTCATCCATTCCATTCTCTGTTGCACATTAATTCTGCAGATGAGCACTTGAGTGTGAGTTTGTAAGAATTGGTGTGACAGACTGCCTGTGTCACTTTGGCTTTAGATGGTGGGCACTCAGTGCAACATGCAGATCTTGTATTATAAAAATGTACACCTGGAACTTGTGTGATCCTAGTAACCTATGTCACCCCAATAAGTCTAATTTTTTAAAAAACATTGCTCTACCAAAACTTATTTGTCAGGTGTAAACAACTGTTTGGGATTCAGAGTGGAATGTATCTCTTGCTGATGCAGAAGTTATTTAGTAAAATATTTGAAATAATAAACAACAAATACTGTGTGCTCTGCCATCATAATTTACATCCCACATGGGAAGGGCATTTTACCAAAATTAAAGCTATTTTCATTGAACTTAAAGTCACTTAAAGACCAGGGGCAGAGCATGTAATTCAGAGCAAATGTTACTCCTTAAAGAATTATTGGGTACAGCATAGGGAATATAGTCAATGATATTATAATAACTGTGTGTGGTATTGGGAGGTACTAGACTTATTAGGGGGATAACTTCATAAGTTATATAAATGTCTGATCACTATCTGATCACCTGAAACTAATGTAATATTGAATGTAAATTGTATTTGAAAAATATAAAAAATTAAAAAAATTATTGGATGCTTATTTGGCAACTAGTGGTATTGGGAATACCCTATGAAATTTCATTGATCACATTTGAACATTCTGAATAGTCAAGTATTAAATATCCCAACCTATTCTCATGTATAACTAATTCTTCTTGGTTGAGAAATAGCAGCACAGTTATTATTTAGGTAAAGGAGGGAGAGGAAATCAGTGAGGAGAGATAACCAGTGAGTATGCCCACATGCGCAGACGAAAGTGGGGAAATATTTAACCTTAGGAGAAAATTATCTTAGTGAGAATGTTCTTATGCCCTTATGTTGCCTTCCCTTTCCCACTTCCAATTACCTGTGTTCACCCCTCCAGTGAATATCCACGCTCCGGTTGTCATGGCTGCTTTGATAAGACCCTTCCCAAAGACTTGCTTGAGTTTTGGCTGGAGTTCAAAGTTCTGCAGGCCTCCATGGACGGAGATGAGAAGCTTGGGAAGCTCCAGCTGCCATTCCTTGGTCATCAGGTGTAAGAGGAGATCAGGTTTTGTATCGAAAGATACTCGCACATACTGGAAGAAGAACAGCCTTTGATTAGGGAGACAGGGCAGGACTGGCTAGTGTGGCTTGTCTTCAGTGATTGCAATGACACGTGTACTTACTTGAAGAAAATGTCTCATATGAACTCAGATTCTTAAAAAGGGGTAAATCATCTGCTTTACCAAGTGAGCCCACATCAGACAAAGGGAGTCAGCATTTTAAAAGGTTTTATTGAAATTGTGAATTACTACCCACTTTCAAATTGTTTGAATTTCTAAAGTGCAGCACAAGCACAATTTTCCCTGGAATATATTCTTTGCTCAGAGGAAATCATGTTTACATTTTACCAATATTAACATTTGTACAACAGTTCAAATATTTCCAATTGTTCAATATAAGTAATCCCTTTATACCAGTAACACCTGGATGTAATTTTTCTGTGACCCTATTATTTGGAGAGGTTTTGAAAAGTTCTACAGTTCAATGTAATGTAATGAGAATTTTAAAATAAGGTAAGAGCTGATTATATTTATTTAAATCTATAACAACTACATACCAAATATTTTCTTTATCTTTCAGACAAGTGACAAAAACCATGCCAATTACCCTTGCAGGAGAGCTGAAAAAAATGAAAGTGTATAGAAGATATAGGAAGATATCACCAACACCAGATGAAATCAGAAATAAAGTTATGATAAGTATATATAAGTGAAAAGCCATAAAACATAATGATAGATTTATGTTTATAGTTATCTATATTACCATGTACATAGATACTCCATTTAGATCTCAGTTTAATTGTGTGAAGCCTTCTGCCTCTATCTGGAAACAACTGAAATACTGAGGAAACATACTTGAAGGCCTTTTGTAGTTCAGTGCTGAGCTGGAATGAAAAGAGGGCATATTCATATTCCTAAACAGAACAGAAGCTGGAGCCTCGGGAGACAAGGAAGCACTCCAGCAGGCTTTAGCCCTGACAGTTCCCCCTAAACCCTGGAAGGCTCTGAGCATCTGCTTTAATGCCTTTATGCAGTATGGGTGAGTCTAATGGGGCACCCATATAAATCTGGGATGCTTCAAGTGCCTCCACCCTCAAGAGTAATGAAGAAAATGTAAGTCTGATGTACAGAAAGAGAAAGCAGGGGAGTTTGCCTGTTTACCTTTGCTCTGAATAAATAAGAAAAAAATGCCCTCTGATTATTTATAAACAGAAGTGGATTCTCACACAGGATTTTGTTCACATTCACTCTGTAATAAGCATGGTCTCAGAAACACCAAACTGAGTAGTGTACAATGGTTCTGGCAGGGTAAGGTCTCCAGGGAACTGGCACAAACGAATGCAAATCCCCTGTGGAGGAGTGTGTCATCAGTCCCGGTCTCAAATACTTCCCATGGGAAAGTAGTAATTTCATGGCAAAAATTAAAATAATAAATTACATAAGGAAATAAAGCAGCATGAATGAGATCAAAAGGAAATAACAAACACTAGAATAAGATTCTCAAAGATACTGAAATGACCAGACAGAATATGAAATAGCTACATGTTAAAAAACACAAATGAGAAGACAACATATTGCATTGTGGGTAAAGATCAAGATATTATAAGGAATGACCACATACATTTGAAAAATAATCAAAAACAGAACTTCTAAAATCAAAATGTAATAATGTGAATGAAAAAATGGATTAATTAAATTACAGATCAGATGTGCTAATGAAAAATCCAGAGAAATAAATCAGCTGTCACTTAGACAACAGAATTAAAAACAGAAGAAAAACAGAAACTTGGAGGAAATAATCAGAATTCTGGGTAGACATGAAAGAGATAATGGTGAATAGTCAATACTTGAACTGATGCTGGCTGAGAATTTCTCAGAATTGTTGAAAGACACCAATTCTCGGATCCAGGAAGTTTAATGAATCCCAAGCAAAATAAATAAAAAGAAACCCTACCCATAGACACCTGATAGAGAACAACAAAGGGAGGGGTGAGGAAAAACCTTCAAAAGCGGCGAGAAACAAAGACAGATCACCTACAAAGAACATTTATCAGACTAAAGGCCTATTCCTCAACAGCATCCATGGATGCCAGAAGCCAATGTCTTCCATGTGCCCAGAGAAATTGCCAATGTAGAATTCCATAGTTGGCAAAAATATCTTTCCAAAATGTGAGTAAATTATAGCTATTTCAGACTACCAAAATTGAGAATTTACCTCTAGCAGACTTCATGGAAGGAAATTTAAAAATATATATGGTAGATAGAAGTTACATGATCCAAAAAGGGTAATCTGGGTTACAAGAAACAATGGCACAGATATTAGCAAATATATAGTAAATGTAAAAAAGCATTGGTTGTCTAATTTATGGTGGAAAGGGTCCAAACTAAAGCACAAATTAATGTAACATATAAGTTGGGTCATAGTAATGAGAGGTAAAGCATTTTAAAGTTTGTTTGTTGTGTGGGAGAGAAGAGAAAGTTATTGATTAACTTTAGAATTTGTTAAGCATTAATGTTACAGTATCATAGCCACAAAAATAGACCTGCATGTAATCATTCAAACACATTTTTGGATGGATTGATAACATTATTCATGAGATGGTAATTTATTGTCATATACTTGGATCTGGGAGACCCCATTGTTGGAAAAATCTCAAAAATTATGTCAATTCTTTTATTAAAGTATATTTTAAATATGCTTAGTTAAAATGTGAAGGAAAACACTCAAAATATGAATGGTGTTAAAAAACAGTATAAAATATAAATGGTGATAAATAAACTGCATTATCAAGACATACCAAAAAGCTAAAATTTCCTATACATATATACAAAAACCTAAAAATGTGGTAGAATCTAATGAGTTGATTCTGTATTGATTTGATCTATGTAGAAAAAATCAATTACAGAATGGAAAGAGTAAAGGTCAGCAATTTTAGCTAAGTACAATATATCAATAAAGTTTAATTGGAGTTTGCAATATGAAAATGGCATATTTTGTGTACCAACTCTCATGCAGAGAGCAAAGAACTCTCAGGTAACTATCAACATAAGGTTTCAACAACAATATGCACTTTTGTGCCAGGCAAGGAGCCTTGGTGCTGGAGACGGGGTGTAGCCATATGGAAGCAAATACAAGTGTTTCTAGAACAAAAGCTTATTAGCTATTTATTGTTATATTTATAGCTCACTGAGTGACTGTTTATAAGAAAAATATCTAGATAATGAATACTATAAGATGAAAGAATAAAATGTTTTCTGCTCCTGTTCAATACATTGAACCTGTATTACTTGAGTAGTTAAAATTTGGTGGCTCTGCTAGATTAAATTGATATCATTTTGACTAATTTCAGAAAGGGATTCTTAGTGAAATAAAGTAGAACTGGGACCAACACATCTTCCAAACTATACAAACCAAAAATGCTTTGTGTGAAAGATAGTAAGAAATTGCTTTTCAAGTTACTGTTCTCTTATTCACAAACTTTAACATATCACTCTTTTCCTTCTAAGAAAGACACAAATAAGGACCCATGTTCTTTTAAGGTGAGATCTAAACTACTTTTTTAAATATAGAAAACCATCTAAAATATAAAGATACTTCTAAAATTATGTGTCCCTTGAATAACACTCCTAACAGTTCTGAAGGATTGTAAAGACACAGTCCCAGTGATTAGAGAAGGCATATGTGAGAACAGCATATTTTGGAAAATAAGGTAAGTAGTTATGGTTTGTGGCTTTTGGAACACTCACTAACTGTCCCTACCTAAACATTTCATTTATTCAGGTAAATAATGAGAGATTTGGAGCCACAGTCAGTATCAGGAAAGAGATATGTATACATTATTAACTTACATAGTGTAAAAAGAGATCAAAATGCATACTAAATCACTACAGAGATTTGTAATAATTTTATTAAACTGAAACTAGCTAAATAGCATATTATGAAATTCAATTATTCATACTAATTGGTAATAATAGTCCAAATGCATTTTTAGGAATAAACCTCATTTGGCAAATAATTCACTTTGGGGGCTTCTCAAGTTACCTATGCAACTTACCAGTAAGGAGTGAATTTTTTGATCATGGGAACAGGTCACTGGAAAATGACCAGCAAATCTAATGAATATGATGAGATTCCTGTTGAACTAGCCTAAGCCTTTTATTAGTTACTAAACTAAAAAAAGCTTGTTCATGATCATAGAATGCTTGTTACTCAGCTATTAAGCTCTCAGTGAGGGAAGGAAGGAGTGACCCTGAGCACCTATACCCAGCTCTCTGTCTGTAAGATGAAGACATGCAGGCTCTCATGTCTGGCCTGTGTAAGGTCATATTGTTCATGGGCTCTCTTTATGTATTTCTCTTGGTTCTCAATTTCTTCATTCTCCTGGGAAAAAAATCCCCCAACTAAAACCCCAAATCTAGGTGTGTTTACTGTGTTGCAGGCACATTCATGCTATGTGTGTCCTATGCAACATTTGATGGATGCTTTCCAATCATGAGAAGGTTGGTATCATCCACAATTTACTGATGAGAGGCAGAAAGCATCCGTCAGGTTCTCAAGATCAACAAGAGGTGATGTCAGGAGTCACAACCCAGGTCTGTCTGACTCCAGAGTCCTTGCTCTACTTTTATCTCCCCATGTTGCAAGATCTTAGAGAGAAGGGACCATGTTTGAGTTGACCATGTTTATTTCAGTACTGGCTATGAAATAGTAACACTTTTAGAAATAAAAGGCAGCTTAGAAATATCTTAGCAATCATGGGAACTTGAAATCATCTAGTGTAATTTTCCTGCTTTACAGATGAGGACACTGAAACACAGAGAAGGTAAGTGCTGGGGACCAGAGTTAGTTATCTAATAACTAACCACTCACTAATCCATCATGCAAATTAATGCTATGCTGTAAGCTCTAGGTTGAGCTATGCTTCTCAAACTAACATGCATGACTCACCAGGAGCACCTCAGAAATGCAGGTTCTGATTCAATAAGCCTGGGATGGGGCTTGAGGTTTGGCATTTTTTAAAATTGTTCTGTTA